AATTGTGATTTCTTTATTTTCCAAACGTGAAACAAGATATTGAATAAGAGAAAAACATTACTAAGACAGGCAAAGAAATACAATATCTTCTTAAAACATGAAGCTTAGAAACGAAAAGAAAAGAAGAGAATGAATAATCAATTTTGGCCTTTTATCCTAAAACTAATAACATTAATTTTTAGAAAGAGGTGACAACGTAATAATATACAAAGCAAGTGAAAGGGAATTCCAGAAGAAAATGTTCTCGTAGCAGAAGTCAATCGACTCTTGAAACGGTTTGTTACCGGAGCTGCTAGCCTCTAGATCTATGTCTTCGTTCTCTGAGGGTCTTTTTTTTTTTACCTTTTTTTTTTTTTAAAGTAGCTGAACGATTTATAACAAAGAGCAGTGCTATTAAGCTGCTGATGTTATCGACTGACTTCCAGAGCACGTGGCGAGGAGTGGATCTCGTAAGCCAGGACGCCTGTGCTCGGTCAATGATACAGCCCGAGTATGTTGAAATGCCAACAGTGACGTCAAGGGAACGTAGCTTATCAGCACAGTTATCGACTATCATTATAGATAACCCCCCCCCCCCCACACACACACACATATATGTGCCCAACCCAGACCCCTTTCATGCTTTAAAAAAAATTGCGTTTTCCTACAGTGGAAAAGAATAGAACTAAAAAAGAAGACGGTCTCCAATGACTGAGATCCCTCTTTTTCTTTGACAGTGTCTTTTTTTACAATTTGCCAAGTAAGTCGTTTTCTGCCAACGGCCGTGCTCATAATGTGACGAACAGGTATCGTTTGGAGTTAGAAAAATAATATAATAAAATAAGCATAACCGTGTCCATAATGTCAAGTGGTACAGCATTCCGTTTTGGGTTTTAAAGCCCATTCGACGCGTCACGTGTTATTGAAGGATATGCATGGACGGTTATTAGAAATCCAATTGCGATAAAACTTAATTCAGTACAAGCAGGCTTTGAAAACTCAAAAACAAAATACTATAGAATTCTGCCAAGAAATAAACACACGTCCATTCTGATTAGGAAGTAAATTTCAACCGATGCATCATGCAAGATACCACCGAGATGTGGATATACGAATATGGTATTTTTTAAACCCATAAAATCCAAATTCAGCGATTGTAGTAAGCCTCTATTTGCGATATTTCTTGCTGAGGGCTAAACCTGTGGCACATTCTAGAACCAGCTCACGCTGATTAACTATAAAAATAAGTAAGGCACGCTCGTACGTTAGCTTACTCATTCGTATCATCTCACGTTACACAGTAAAATGTCACAGAGGATTAGAGTGAAACAAAAGCCACAGAAAAAAACGAGCAGAGATAGGAAGGAAACGGTCGGAGACATTGGGGAAACTTGATATCCAAATCAATAGCCATAACATATTACCTGAAATGGCAGTTGAGGTTAACCAGAATGCCTTGCAAAATCCAAAGTTTGCTTTTGCTAAAATGAGATTGCAAGCTTAGTATTTGTTGCTAAAGGCTTGGGAACCCGAGACTTCATTGAGCCCTGAACGTTTCATTGAAGTCGTGATCTATCAGTTCCTTCCAAAACAAGATTTTAAAAAAGTATTATCACTCCTTACTCACCCTTCTTATTTTATTATATTAGATTTCATCGTATCTTCATAAAACTCTGTTCGAAATATTTTGCACTCTCGAAGTTCGAAAAAGCGTGAAAGAACTAATGTCTCACCAACGAAAATTTAACTCTACGTTATAGCATTCCCTATATCAATATTAATTAATTCGCAGATTTCCTGTTTTAAGGTGCCAACACCTAGATGACAGGGATGTATGATTTCATTGATTTGTGGCGTCCGTGGCCTAGTGGTTAGGCTCTCAGACTCGCAACCGTAAGGTCGTGGATTCGGATCCCGTCAGGGGCCCGACGTTGCGTCCTTTCTAAAGGCACTTTACATGAATTTTCCTTATTTCATCCAAGTGGTAATGGGTATCCAGCTATAGGCAGTAAAATATTTTGTCAGTTTGTTAGTGTTTCAGCGCTTACTCAACTGCTAGCACTGCATGCTTCACTGGAATCGGAAAATGTTTCTGAGTGTTCTATGGTCTGCTGGGGTAAGACTATTGTGTGAAGCGCATAGAGCTTGCTGTCGAGCGGGGATATGCGCTATACGCATACTATTACTACTTATTATTACTATTTTTATCTTCGTGGGATACGCTGACCCTCTTACCTTGTACATGGACCAATAGCGCAGTGTGAAGGTAGCGATATAGACGCTGATAAGTAGGAAATCCTGCAAGTTGTACAGGTTGGTCATGTGCTCCATGAGACCGCTGTGAAACAACTGGTTACATTCCTGACACACCATGCCTGCGAGGGAGACCCAAAAAAAAGAAGAAAAAAAAGAGGATGAAAAATAATAGGTTAATGATGGGAGGATCAAATTAAGCATACAAAAATGCGTTTAGGTGGCAAGATTTTATTTAAAAAAGCATTAAAGATACAAACTCCTCCCC